TGCATCGGAAAACACGTTTACTTGAGCTCATTGTCATCCGGATGGAAACATTTCAACTTTGATACTCTATTCGTATATACGCACTCTTTTATACGTTAATCCTGTCTTGAAGTTTACTGAATATGGAATATAGGCTTTGAAAATAAATAATTTACAAGGTAGTGAATACTATTATAGCATGCTTAGATGATATCACTTTACATACCAACATGGTTAAACTTGTCTTCACAACGCCGTTATGATTAAACTTGCATACACCCTGCGTGACATGACAACACCGTTATGATTAAACTCGCACACACCCTGCGTGACATGATGTTATGATTAAACTTGCATACACCCTGCGTGACATGACAATGCCGTTATGATTAAACTTGCATACACCCTGCGTGGCATGACAATACCGTTATGATTAAACTCGTATACACCCTGTATGACATGACAATACCGTTATGATAAAACTCGCATACATCCTGCGTGACATGACAATACTGTTATGACTAAACACGCATACACCCTGCGTGACATGACAATACCATTATGATTAAACTCGCATACACCCTGCGTGACATGACAATATCGTTATTGTCGGTTTCAAAGTCAATAAACATCAGATTCTGCATTTTCTCATACTGCTTTATTCTGTGATGTATCCAAACACTCAATGTTCAACGTATACCTTACGAAGCAGGTTCAGGCTGAAACCATACAAAACAACAAACTTACATGCATGTCCTCATGTCCGAAACACAGCCAGCTTCTTACAATACAAACTCACTCCGTAATAATTCAGAAACACGGTAAATACTGTAATAACATGCTCATATCACAACACGGTGGTAACTCTCAAATAATTCTGGCTTTTAACGAACAATATATTATATTACAGCCCTTTCATAAATAAATATATCATGCATGCATATGCAATGTATTACTTACAAATTTCGTGGCAGAATCATAGCGTTGACAACAGCCAGGTTATCACTCACTGCGATGCACACTTTCAAATTTCACGCCACCCTGCATGCTTTGTCTCTCTTACCATCCACCCGCAGTTACCACCCCTGTCCAAGCCAAACCATTCAACCGCATACCGCTAAATAAAGAAAAGTGACTTTCTCTCATATACAGTTATGATTAAACTTGCAAACACCCTGTATGACATGACAATACCGTTATAATTAAACTTGCACACACCCTGCATGACATGACAATACCGTTATGATTAAACTTGCACACACCCTGTATGACATGACAATACCGTTATGATTAAACTTGTATACATGCTGCATGACATGACAATACCGTTATAATTAAACTCGCATACACCTTGTGTGACATGACAATACCGTTATGATTAAACTTGTATACATGCTGCATGACATGACAATACCGTTATGATAAAACTCGTATACACCCTGTATGACATGACAATACCGTTATGATAAAACTCGCATACATCCTGCGTGACATGACAATACTGTTATGACTAAACACGCATACACCCTGCGTGACATGACAATACCATTATGATTAAACTCGCATACACCCTGCGTGACATGACAATATCGTTATTGTCGGTTTCAAAGTCAATAAACATCAGATTCTGCATTTTCTCATACTGCTTTATTCTGTGATGTATCCAAACACTCAATGTTCAACGTATACCTTACGAAGCAGGTTCAGGCTGAAACCATACAAAACAACAAACTTACATGCATGTCCTCATGTCCGAAACACAGCCAGCTTCTTACAATACAAACTCACTCCGTAATAATTCAGAAACACGGTAAATACTGTAATAACATGCTCATATCACAACACGGTGGTAACTCTCAAATAATTCTGGCTTTTAACGAACAATATATTATATTACAGCCCTTTCATAAATAAATATATCATGCATGCATATGCAATGTATTACTTACAAATTTCGTGGCAGAATCATAGCGTTGACAACAGCCAGGTTATCACTCACTGCGATGCACACTTTCAAATTTCACGCCACCCTGCATGCTTTGTCTCTCTTACCATCCACCCGCAGTTACCACCCCTGTCCAAGCCAAACCATTCAACCGCATACCGCTAAATAAAGAAAAGTGACTTTCTCTCATATACAGTTATGATTAAACTTGCAAACACCCTGTATGACATGACAATACCGTTATAATTAAACTTGCACACACCCTGCATGACATGACAATACCGTTATGATTAAACTTGCACACACCCTGTATGACATGACAATACCGTTATGATTAAACTTGTATACATGCTGCATGACATGACAATACCGTTATAATTAAACTCGCATACACCTTGTGTGACATGACAATACCGTTATGATTAAACTTGTATACATGCTGCATGACATGACAATACCGTTATGATAAAACTCGCATACACCCTGTATGACATGACAATACCGTTATAATTAAACTTGCACACACCCTGCATGACATGACAATACCGTTATGATTAAACTTGTATACATGCTGCATGACATGACAATACCGTTATGATAAAACTCGCATACACCCTGTGTGACATGACAATACCGTTATGATAAAACTCGCATACACCCTGTGTGACATGACAATACCGTTATGATTAAACTCGAACACACCCTGTATGACATGACAATACCGTTGTGATTAAACTCGCATACACCCTGCGTGACATGACAATACCGTTATGATTAAACTAGCACACACCCTGTATGACATCACAATACCGCTATGATAAAACTCGCATACATGCTGCATGCTGCATGAAATGAAAATACCGTTATTATTTAACTCGCATACACCCTGTATGACATGACAATACTGTTATTATTAAACTCGCATAAATGCACATCCTGCATGACATGACAATACCGTTATGATTAAACTCGGATACACCCTGTATCACATGAAAATACCTATATGGTTAAACTTGCCTAGATGCTGCATGACATGACAATACCGTTATGATTAAACTCGCATACACCCTATGTGACATGACAATACCGTTATGATTAAACTTGCATACACCCTGTATGACATGACAATACTGTTATGATTTAACTCGTATACACCCTGTATGACATGACAATACCGTTATGATTAAACTCGCATACACTCTGTGTGACATGACAATACCGTTATGATTAAACTTGCATACACCCTGTGTGACATGACAATACCGTTATGATAAAACTCGCATACACCCTGTGTGACATGACAATACCGTTATGATTAAACTCGCATACACTCTGTGTGACATGACAATACCGTTATGATTAAACTTGTATACACCCTGTGTGACATGACAATACCGTTATGATAAAACTCGCATACACCCTGTGTGACATGACAATACCGTTATGATTAAACTTGTATACACCCTGTGTGACATGACAATACCGTTATGATAAAACTCGCATACACCCTGCATGACATGACAATACCGTTATGATTAAACTTGTATACACCCTGTGTGACATGACAATACCGTTATGATAAAACTCGCATACACTCTGTGTGACATGACAATACCGTTATGATTAAACTTGCATACACCCTGCATGACATGAAAATACCGTTATGATTAAACTTGTATACATGCTGCATGACATGACAATACCGTTATGATTAAACTCGCATACACCCTGTGTGACACGACAATATCGTTATGATTAAACTCGCATACATCCTGTATGACATGACAATACCGATATGATTAAACTCGCATACACCCTGTATGACATGACAATAACGTTATGATTAAACTCGCATACACCTTGTGTGACATGACAATACCGTTATGATAAAACTCGCATACACTCTGTGTGACATGACAATAACGTTATGATTAGACTCGCATACACTCTGTGTGACATGACAATACCGTTATGATTAAACTCGCATACATGTACATGCTGCATGATATGATAATACCGTTAAGATTTAACTCGCATACACCCTGTATGACATGACAATAACGTTATGATTAAACTCGCATAAACTCTGTGTGACATGACAATACCGTTATGATTAAACTCACATACATGTACATGCTGCATGACATGACAATACCGTTATGATTAAACTCGCATACACCCTGTGTGACATGACAATATCGTTATGATTAAACTCGCATACATCCTGTATGACATGACAATACCGATATGATTAAACTCGCATACATGTGCATTCTGCATGACAATACCGATATGATTAAACTCGCATACATGTGCATTCTGCATGACAATACCGATATGATTAATCTCGCATACATGTGCATTCTGCATGACATGAAATACAGTTCTGGTTAAACTTGATACACGTGGTATCGATATATAACAATACATAAATGGTTAAACTATTCTTAACGCAGCACGCTTAATAACAATACCTATATGGTTAAACATGTCTAGATGCTGCATGCCATGACACTACTTTGTGGTCAAACCTGCTACTAAACAACAGATATCCCTGACAGGGCCTCACTTGGGAACACCTGCTGTCATCACTGTTTTCAGCAATATCATTTTCGCAGCTGTTTTGTCTTTTACGACCAATGGAATCTGTTTCGGCGGATAATTGAGATAATTGGTTATTCACTGGTGTTTATCTTCTCTGTTTAAACATGAAACAACATGGCTATTAAATCCGTACTGAGTGCCGCCAGTATTTTCTCACGCCAGACCTGTGTAACAACAAATACATGGTGTGGTATGCAATTCCACACGAGACATCATACGTTTGTGTCAAAATAGTGAAATGAAAATCGCAGAATGTTTAGCAAATGGCTTTTGAAATAACCGCTAACATTACCGAGGCCTGCCCGTCAAGATGCTTACATTTTGTAAATAATTCCCAGACAATGTTTATTTCATTTTTGTTTACCAAGTTGCACAATTCTTTTTTCATGCCTGCTCCAGCATGAAGAGAAAATATCTTGTAACAAATGTTATGTTTGGGATAACACTTTCTTAGTGCCAAATTTCACTTGTCAGAGGGGTACGTACACAAGGTACGTGATCTAGACTACCAGTTGCCGGACTTTCACTTTTGTGAAAGCCCCGGTGGTCAATGGGTTAGATCGCTGACTTTGATGCTGGCGATGAGGTGCCTCACTATGGCAAGTGTGGGTTCGAAAACCGGACGGGACTCAACACCCAAAAAAGTAAGAGAATCTGTACTTTACTAAGAAAGTGTTATCCCAAATATAACATTTGGTTTTTTTACCACTTTCTAAATGGCATTGTGAATGAAAATGTCATGTTTTATATCATTGAGTGCGCACCGCTCAACGCGACAAAAGTCGGTAAAATTAAACCCACTTGAGGTCATCACCTTTCAAACAAACATGGTGTCTTTATCCAGAAAAGCAAACAAACTGGATTTCAGGGAGATTAGGGGGATTAGGGGTGGGGAAGTGTAGTCTGTTATAAGTGTTTCATCTTGAGCCTCTGTTCAATTTGGAGTATATTTTGTCAGTCGTGTGACGAGGGGTACACGAGCCGGAGGCGAGGGATTTATGAGGAATTCATTCTCGGCTGAGAAATATATTTCCTGCCACAGCGGGATACATAGTATTTTATCAAGATCACGTGAACCAAACAGATCTCATCGTTCTGACATGTAGTTATGGTTAAATGATTTAATGACTGCTGTGTTCACTTTCATCTAACTATACACTGGTATGGACACAAACTTGACCATGAACTCGAGACATACCAGGCAGAAGTGTTTGTAGGGGATAGAGGGCTCATTTCTTGTCTTGTGTAGACACAGAATGGAGAAGCAGTATCTCATGTGGAGTAATTTATGTGATACAATATGCGAGAGATATGTGATAAGTAATGTAATTTGTTTCAGTATCTGCGATTATGGAAATATATTTCATATATATGAAGTGCCGATCGTTTTGTTTTAAAAAATATAAATAAGTGAATAGTAGACCGGTTTTGTGGTTATCTTTCAAAAACATATAGTTGTACTTGGCTATATGTTAGCAGCCACAATCTATTGTATGGGCTACAGATTAAAAGGCATTGGAAATGCTAATTAACACCGTTGTTACACACGACGACGTTGCGGCTCAGTGCAATTTTGAGACTGGATGAGAATTTACCCAAACATGCAAACCAAAAAGCCAGTTAATCGAGAATTCGGGAGTTTAGTAATCCTTTAAGATAATTATACTTTACTACTGTGATGGTCTACTGGTCGAGCGTCGCCACAGGTGATTGTTCACATTGAAATAAACAGGCCTCAACCCGAGTATTTATTCTTTGTCCAAAGGCGTATAACATACACCAAACTGGAGTTATATCCCTTCCCAAACGAATATTATGTAGCAGGGTACCTTTATCGTATTCTTCCTAGTTATATCATTATTCATACATCATCATCATAATCATCTATATGTTCAATGTTTGTCTTGTCTACATTTGAATATCAGTATATAACTCTTTAAACAACTCAACACCCTTATTTTTCAGTCTCTGGGAATCTCTCACCAGATCTTCCCCTTCAACCTTCTGTCTATCTTTAGACATTTTTCACACCTGTAGGGTTTCCCTCAGTCTATTTATATCTTGCATTAAGCACTTCCTTTAATGCTTAATGCAATGTGTCTTCTAATTGGCCACCCTGGTCCTCTACAGGTAGCTTCCTCTCATACCTGACTTCCTCCTCACTTCATGTGCTGCTGTTGAGGAGGAAGGACATTTTTTTTTTCTTCAGGTATGGAATGGCCACATTTCAATCTGTTTTCATCTGCTTCTGTCAGAAATAAATATCTATATTAGGGTGCTGAATTAAATTGAATAATATATATAATAGCATTTAAAGTAATATTAAATTAATAAATGGAATATTGATATTATAAAACTTGCTTGTAAAATAATTAACCACCTGGTCCAGTTTGGCCCATGTGCTTTTCAAGTGTCCTATAGTGAACTTATAACAGTAATTTAACATTAAATAGTTTTATCATAGTTATAAAATGGCTTTTGTACTTATATTTATATATATTTAGGATAAATAATACCTGTGAACTTGCAAATATATGACTTCATGTGCTGCTGTTGAGGAGGAAGGACATTTTCTTTTCTTCAGATAGTTCTTCAACAGCAGCCACCCCCTTGTAATAAACCCATTATCACCATCTGCCTGTGTCTGTGTTTCCCAACGGCCCGAGCCGGATCATTACCACTACCCCGGCTACAAATATGGCGCCCAACGTGGGGCCGTTGGCTGTCACTCTGGACACAGGCTTCATCAACTTCATCGTGTTCTTGGGGTAATCCTTCATCATTGTTGAAGGATTCATCGTTGAAGGACTCAGGATGTTTCTTCCATGCAACTTGTGGAAGCTATGTGTGTAGCGTTGAGCTATAATTGTGACTATAATTAAATCTTGATCTGCAATCGTCAGTGACACACACTTTGTTACGACGTTGAACTTTTCGTCTGCATCAATGTTTATATTGAGGTGCTTCCTCCAATTCCTAGAAGTGTGCCTTTATTTTAACTGATATACATGTATTTGTCGTTTTGTTCACAAATGAACTTTTGATCAGTGAACCGTGACCATGAACTTTCTGAACCGTCTACATTCTGAACCAAATTTCATCAGAATGCTATTAGTTGACTGATGTTTCATTGTATATACATGTATGCTTGATATGTTCATCACCATTACTTGAACATTTTGAAACTTCACATCTTGTCACACTTGTGATCATCATATTTTCCACTTAGGAAGCATTTTTGACAACTGTAAAGTTGTACAGCTGTGTGACCCACTTGTTGCCATTCTGAGTTACGATTGCGGAATTCTCATTTAATTAAATTCTTATTTAAAATCAACCTATATCTCTACAGAATTTTGATAAATTCTATTTATACTCAGCTTTAACTGTGATCAGCTAATTGTGATATATTATCATTTTCATCCTCAATTAATGAATTTTATTAAATAAATTTGCAGTTTACTGGTATAAGATAAGCCATTTAATTTGTAAAGTCACTTGGATACCTTTTGGCAAAGTAAGTACCCTAAAATAGTTATTTCCAATTTCTTACTTTAAATTTCTCACTCTTCTTTCCTGTCCGAGATATTTTTTTAACTGCTGGGAAATTCCTTATCTGCTCCACTAACATTTGCCATATCATGTCTTGTCCTTGTGCCGTTCTATTCATTCATACCATTTCATCATCTTAGTTCATCATTCAATCAAAACAAATTCATTACACCTGTGATGTTGATTACTTTTAGTTCGCAGCTTAGTACATTGCTTCATACTTAGTTCTTCCTATATATATTCCTGCTCGCAACATTTTGGTAAGATTGTTGTGATCGTTGCCGTAATTGACTTAGTTTGCGGTAGCTTAGTCACGTAATATTTCTTATTACAACAAGTGGTCAGTTGTGCTTACACCTATATTGCCACTTACCTTTTTCGTATTACTTACCTTAGCAAACTAGAGTTGTATTTTTCCCTTTTTGATCTGGAAACTTTGTCAGATACTTAGTATTTTGGTATTCGGTTTCTGCTTTTCCAGTTTAGCTTAGTGAGGACTTTTCCTTACTTCTATTTTGGCTAGCTGCAGTTCATTGTTCTTGTACCTTGTGGTGCGCTAGAGGCTGAACTTCAGATGCATCCATTTTGTATCCTTTGGTGAGGATGTTTGTTGGATCTTAACTTGTGAGATTCTTGTCGCCTTTTAGGTGGTACTTCGGTTTTGATAGTTATCATATAGTTCATATTCCTCTCATTTCAAACATACTTGCACTTTAGTTTGTATTACCATGGCTTAATCTAATGTAAGTGAGGACCCGGAGGTAGATGTGGTACTTAGCTGCCTTCAGCATCTGCATCCTTCGGTCCGCACTGGTGTGCTAAATAGACTAGCAGATGATATTGCAAATCAGCTGCAGCATCCCAATACGACATATCGTGTTACTGGCACTGGTGCACCAGGTCTTTGGTTGTCCAATACTTATACTATTCCACCTACAATATATACCAGTCCTAGGGTGGCATTACCTGCTCACTCCCCTAGGCCGGTACCTCATCTGCTTAGTCATACGCCACCATCAAGGTCACCTATGCCAACAGGTTCTGAGAATCTGTTTCAGATTTCTCCGACGACAGTGAACCTTAGTCCTATGATGGACCTACCAGCTTCACTGCCTAGGCCTCATGGTTCAATTTACAACTTTGCTCAGCCTAGGGCAACTTCTACACCTTACCTGAATAGTTACCTATCACAACCTTCACACACACCGCATGAGTCTTGGCCTAGTCGCACTATTCCAACACCATATCCAGGCTATAATCCATCTACCTTTTATAGCCATAGTGTAGGTGCTCCTCCTAGACTTGTCACACCCTTTCAGTCTACTTATATGCCCATCATCAATTCTCCCAGTCCACGGTTGTCATCAGTTTCTGGGGATGGGACCAAGGGTGAGGTCAAGTATAAGCAATGGCATTAGGAGATTGTTGGGTGTCGTAGGGAGAATGCATTCTCGGACACTTCAATTCTAAATGCCATGCGGGGGTCCGCCAAGGGTTCAGCTGCTGACCTACCTAGTGGGCTTTCAGAAACTGTTACCCTTGACACTGCTATTGAGCAGTTGGACTCAGTGTTTGGCAATGTGATGCCTGGCGAGACGCTTATGGAGCGTTTTTACACTGCCCGCCAGGAAAAGTATGAGTCTGTCGCTGCGTGGAGTTGCCGCCTCCAGGATTTGATCTCCAAGATAGAGGCATCTGGCACTTTACCACACAATGCTGCGCCTAGCTTACTTCAAAGCCGGTTTTGGATGGGTCTCACGCGTGATGACCTGAAGCAAGCGATGCGCCATCACTTTGATTCAGGTATGGACTATAAAAAACTGCTGCTTGCTATCCGTAGGGTTGAGGAGGAGTTAGCCACCCCTGGGGATGCACAATCATGCAAACTGAGGTACACTGTTTTGTGGGAAGATAGGGGTTAGGCGGCGTCTCCCACAGTGCCCCGCTTTAAACTCCTAGGAGTCAATGTTATGGGGCGAACATTGGACTCCGACATTAGCTCCAATTCTGGGTTGCCATCAAATTTGATTGGTCCCGCAAATGTCACATCTGTTAGTGTAGAAGGCCACTTGTATAATGTTCCTGAGAAGAT